AGTCAGTGCCTGGTTTCAGACGTCACATGTGCGACCGTGGCCATCGGGCAACCAAGTCTGACAGAGCATCATATTGTGTCCGCTGTTCTCGCTGCAGCCGTCAGTTCCGTCGACAGAGTGACCTGAGTCGTCATCTCCGTTTCTGCTCCTGATAATGACTCCGGCTTCTTTCGGAATGGTGTGGCCCTTGGGCAACCATGCTACAGTAGCAGTAGTAGTAGTAGTGTGTGTGTGTGTGTGTGTGTGTGTGTGTGTGTGTGTGTGTGTGTGTGTGTGTGTGTGTGTGCGTGTGTGGGTGTGTGTGGGTGTCTGGAGCGCCACCGGGTGGCGTGCTCTTTCTCACTCTCTGCTGCCCCTCCGGGCCCACGTGACCCTAGTGGTAGTGGCTCGACAGGACAGGTGTGTGTGTGTGTGTGTGTTTGCATGTATGCGTGTGTGTGTTTGTGTGTGGTATGTGTGTGTGTACACTTGTGTCAATGTGTATTGCAGGGTTGGGTGGGCTAGTAGAGAAGGGTAGATGTATGTGGACCTGTACATGGGATATGTAGGTGTGCATGTACATGTAGCAAAGCTAACTTATCAAAAAGGCATTCTGCGCCTATATGGCGAAATTGAGCATTGAAGCATATGTTTTTTATTTTCTCATTGGCATGTACACAGTTAGTCCATTCAATAACCAAAAAATGAGGAAGATTGTAAATCAGGTTCTTGATGAAATACCTGTCCGCTATACATCACAAATCCTGTACAAATTTGACAATTTAGTGAAATTGTCATCGCCTATATCTCAAAAGTTAGCATTGAGACCCCGTTTTTTTAACTCGCCATTTGCATACACTACCTAAGAGCAACCGCCCACCAAATTTTCAGAGCAATCGTTAATTTTTTTGAAATAGGCGTGAGCCACCTTAATTCGAACCTCAAATTGCCAGGCCCTAACTTCGAATTATCCGGAACTTCTAATTATCCAAATGCAGCCCCATGCACTGATATGTATGTCAAAATGCTTGAAATCGCGTGCTGAATATTTTTTGCACATTTATATTTGCATCAATGGAACATACATTGTAGGTGTTCGTACCGGTACGGGTCATGTACAACAGATCATCTAAACACTGGCCGGATCGACACAAAATCATTTTGACATTATCTTCATCTTCTAGTGAAGAAGTTGTCAGTCACTGCAGCTTTCCTGAAACGATTTCAACGGAAAAGAACTGCGCTGCCTAATCCGCGTCATGAAAGGCCGTCGGACACCAGCACGTCGTTCTGAAGAACGGAAGTGGAGCATAGGCATAGACAATATTTACGACAATAGTGTTGTTGTGCGCCAACATCTCCACGCACGAGCTGGCGCGGCAAGAAAGGCCATCGAGATCCGCGAAGAGAGTCAGCCACCTGGAAGAATCAAACCTTTGCAATTTGCCTCGCACGGGCTTGAATCAAATTTCGACAGAAGGTGGGTTTCTTGAACGCTATAGTCGATCCTGCAGCGGACCATTGATCGATTTTTGAGCTACTCTTGGCTAGAGAAGGAGAAAAGAATGAACTTCGAATTACAAGGATAGCAACTCAATCTCACTTCGAAATATGCGTTCAAAGAACATAGCCAATGTACTGTAAACAGCTCTTCTGTACGAAGACTGGGTTCGAATTATCCAACCGGCGCACTTTTCGTACTTCGAATTATGCGTTCGATTTTGACTTGAAGTGACTTGCAGAAGATCGGTACGACGAAAAAGTTCGAATTACACGGAATGTTCGAATTATACCGTATTCGAATTAGAGGGAGTCTACCTTACAACCAGCGACGGGGAATCCAAGGAAATACAGAGCAATACTCCATCCTCTGTCGAATGCATATGGACGAGAATTTCCACCGGTAACCTTTCCCTCGTTGTTGCAAACATTTACCGACCACCCCGTAGCGATGGCACCCTCTTCTGTGCGGAACTGGAAAGAAGCATCAAAACCGCTAGAGCCGAAGGTGACGACCTCCTACTACTTGGAGACTTCAATGCCAAGAACAGTGCGTGGCTCACCACAGACAGAACAGATCGCCTTGGGGACGACATACAAACTCTGCTACACACATACGGCCTCACACAACATGTCAGATTCCCTACTTACATCCACCGACAAACACCTCTCTCATGTCTAGACCTTGTTATCTCCTCACTCCACACCAATGATATTCATATCCAATCACTTCCACCATTTGGCGCATCCGATCACACTACTATCAGTGGCCACATCAATAATCAACTGCCCCCCATAATTAACAACTCCCCTCCACGATCCAGAAGCACCACATTCTGGTCATGGACAGACAGCACTATCCACCTTCTTCGAGAAGCCCTTTCACGCACAAATCTCAACCACCATCCAAACCAACACGACCCATGCCCAGTTGACACCTTCTGGCGATCCTGGCGCGACAATGTCCTGAGCATCGCCCAAGAACACTGCCAAGTTACTCGCACTCACCCCCCTTGGGACAGGAAGAACGTGCCAGCACGACCATGGATATCAAAGGGCCTCTTGAAAGAGATCAAGGACAAGCACAGAAAACACAGAGTCACCTCCCTCCTGCGTCGCGCTAAATCGGATTACGTAAACAACTCAACAGCCTCCTCTACTTCCCTACACCGCCTCATGAAGCACCTAACTACAGCTACAAAACAACGCATAACCGAACTCGTCAGCCAAGCAACTCCTGCAACGACACCAGCACAAAAAGCCGCTGCCCTCAACGAATTCTTCATTTCCCAGAGCAAGCTGTCCGTGGCCAATGCGGATGAGCAAACTCCAGCCATCAACACCACCCCTGACATCCTCAGTCCCCTTCAAGAAATCTCGACTTCCCAAGCTGAGGTCGAAAAACTCCTCCGCGGAGTTGATACCAACAAAAGCCCCGGGTTTGACTCTATTCCAAACCGCCTACTCAAAGAAGCGGCGAAGGAACTTGCACCGTCGTTATCGTCCCTCTTTAATTTATCGTTCCAAACCGGAGAAATCCCACAGGAGTGGAAAGATGCCACCATTACTCCAGTACCCAAGCCGGGTGACCCAACCCAACCAACAAATTATAGACCCATCTCTCTCTTGAGCACTACATCAAAAATCCAAGAAAAAATTGCACATCAACTCCTCTAAAATCACATCACACCCCACCTGCCCAACCAGCAGTCCGGATTCCGCGAGAAGGACGGCACTGAGCAGCAGCTTGCCCGTCTCGTCCATACCCTTTCCACTGCGAGAGACGACGGGAAACACGTCAATGCCTGCTTTTTCGATCTAAGCAAGGCCTTCGATCGTGTGTGGCATGCAGGCCTTCTAGCAAAACTCTCCCACTATGGTGTCCAGGGCAACGCCCTGGAGTGGTTCCGACGGTACCTGTTGGGGCGTCGGCAAAGGGTCCAGGTGGATGGCGACCTATCGCCTTTCCTCGAGATCCCTGCCGGCGTCCCTCAGGGATCTGTTCTTGGGCCGCTTCTATTCCTCGTCTACACCATAGACCTTCCACACGCATGTGAGAATCCCAGCACCACCTCTAGCCAGTTTGCAGATGACACCGCTCTGATTTCCATAGCGAGAACTCTTCAAGACTGCACCCGAAACCTACAACAGAGTGTCACAGCAGCTGGAGACTGGCTTCAAAGATGGCACCTGCTGGTTAACACAAAGAAAACAGTCATCCTCCCGTTCTACCACAATAACCGCCCCCCTGAACAGCTACCCCAGATCACCCTCAGGAATAGTCCGCTTACCGTAGCCCAAAAACACAAACACCTCGGAATAATCTTTCAGCATGACCTCCGTTGGACGGAGCATGTTGAATACATAGTCAAAAAATCACTCAAGTCTTTCAATATTCTTTTTAGACTAAGGTCTACACTCACCAGTGATTCTTTATCTCACATCTATCAAACATACATACTACCTATATTCTCATATGCGAGCAATGCTCTCACACCGTTGTCCCACACTTCCCTTGACAGGCTAGAACGACTCCAGCGGAAAGCCGCCAGAATATGTCTCCACCTTCCCCTTTACACACACTTAGAACACTCCCACCTTTTGCATCGCATCAAATGGCCAACATTATTTTCACGCTTTAAAGTTAAACATATACTCTTCGCGCATTCTCGGCGCCACAATTATGCCCCACCACATATACTCTCGCTGCATACTGCTAGCAACGTGCAACCTTCGTATAATTTACGTCGCTCTCGTACTTGGCACTTGCCAACTCCGCGGACTGACCGCTGTCTCCATTCTCCCCTGTACAAGGCCCTTCATTACTTTAATTGCCTGCCCACCCAGCTTCGCGAAATCCCTTCTCGTACTCCCTTCAAATCCAAGATATCCCTGCTGTTGCACAACTCTGTATGCTCGTGTAGCGACCACCCCTGCCCTTACACTTAAGTACGCAACTCTGTATGCTCGTGTGGCGACCACCCCTGCCCGTACACTTAAGTAGTCATCAACCCCTAGGCCCTGCCCACCCAATTCTTCCTCACTCTTTCTCCTTTCTTACACTATTATCTCTTATTGGCCACTGGCTATCGTGAGAATAAAGATTTGAAACATCCCCCAAACCCATTTTTGGTCTATTCTGTAATGAACATACATTCCCAGTAGATGTCAGAGTTCAGCAACTTCAGTAGCTTGCCAACATGAAGTCTAACCTTGCTTATGAACAGACCAACCTACTTGAAGTCAATTGACTCTATGAAATGCATGTACAGTCAACTTCGCTAATAACAACTGCGTATATAACGACAATTCGTGAATAAGGACAGAATTCATGCCCAGAGCAAAGTCCCATCCAACTGTAATACATAATAATAATGAGACTTGGGGTATAACGACACTTCGCGAATAAAGACACTTTTCTGGTGCCCTGCCGAGTGTCGTTAGACGCGAATTTCACTGTGTGTGTACAGTTTCCATCTGATTTGTTTGTGTGTTGTTGGTTTCTGCATAATTTCTTACAGGCATCACATGTCCAGCCGTTCTGCCGTCGATTGCTAATGGTTATATAAGCACGGTATCTTCTAGCTTTACGATTGGAGGTTCAGCAAACATATCATGTCTTCCAGGATATCAGCGAACCGGAGCACCAGCAATTACCTGCAACAGTAGTGGACAATGGCCTACCAGTGATTCTCTTCCTTCATGCAAATGTAAGATTTAATAAAATTTGATCGGAAAAGTTACATTTTACTTTTCTGAACAATCCCACCTCCAGCTGACCTCCACACATTGCCATAGCACACCGTCGGCAAGGTGACAAGAGAGTGAAGTTGTGGTGTAGTGATTGATAATAAAATATTTGGCTCAAAGCTGAATGCTGTTGTGTACTCTTCTTGGATCATGTAACATTCTCCAAAACGATTAAAGGAGCACTCCTGGAATTTTTTTCGGTAGTGTGTTCTCTTCATGGGGGCCTTCTATGGCATCCACGGAATGGGGAATCGCGAAAACTAGACCCAAAAAGTCTACATGTGAAGCCAGTGAGGGCCAAGTTTGTCCTCTCCGCTGATGGATTTAATGACGCCACGTGTCATTACTAATTAGTATTCAAATTCCCTGCATTTGAAGGTGTTAGTTGTTTGAATTTTCTGGTGATGAAGAAAGATGTTTGGTCGAGATACCCAAGTTTCACAACACAACTGCGGCCATTCTCCAAGGAACCAGCAGTCGGACGCCTGGCAACAAAGTCAGTTGTGGTCTCTCTCTGGCCACAGTGCATCTCATATCATGTACATGTACTATTATCCGGATGTGCAAAATGGAGGAGATCAACATCCTCACAACCCGTGCCAGGTGGCGTCAAGTTGGTCATGTCTTACGGCTGCCACCATCAACCCCAGTAACCTGGGCAACTCTAACCAAAGACGGGTAGGGAGAGTAGCACTCTCGCACTCTCACTGAGCGCCCCCTCCCCCTCCCTACTCTATTGTCGATTTTGTGGTTTTTCACGTCATTCAACAGTCAGAAGTCAATACTAGATGATTCATATAGGCTCATTTGTTTGGGGTTAAGTCGAGGAATCCCCACGTCCGCTGCATTTTGCCTGGCAGGACAATTTATGGAATTGGACATATGGGTATCGGGTAACTTTTTCCATGCCCCCCCCCCCCTTCCCCTCCCCTTCCCCTAATACTACTTTGACTAGAACCCTGGTGTAGTGGCATTGTTATAAACAGTAATCTACCATATTCTCACACACACAGTGGTATTGTGAGGGAAAGTGAACATCTTACTTTTCATGTGAGATCCCTACCTGTAGGAATATGCATTTCAAAGATGTTTTAGATCTGCATACTCTCAGTTAATTGCCTGTCACCCAGCTCATGAAATTTGGTCTTGTCTTGTTGTTTTGTGTTTCATACAGTGATATCCTGTGCTTTGCCCAGCACACCTTCCAATGGTTCCGTTGTTAGCAGCTCGACATCTCCTGCGCCTGACCGTCTTTGCATGCAACAAAGGCTACAAACCGGTTGGAAACAGTGTCACTGTATGTTTGATGAATGGAAATTTATCAAACTCTGCGCCGACATGTGCAAGTAAGGCTTCTTTGGAGTGATAATACTAAAGTAATTAAATTTTGTGAAGTGTACGTCACATTACAAAGTAGTGGTAAGCACTTTGGGAATAATAACAAGAAGATTGGTTTCTTACAACAGTCGATCTTATTCTTTTCTCGTCGTCTTGACTAGCCACTTGACCCACTCATGACTGCATTCTAGCGCACACGAGAAGTCCATTCAACCCTCGACTTGTCAAGACTTCAATAAATCGCCACATGGAATACAAATTCAAACAAATAAACATACTTGCAATAAAGAAATGCAACCAGATCAGTCCAGTCGACCGAGGAGAACAAGAACAGCAACTCGCATCTCACTTCTTCGTACTTTTCTCGACTTTTTCAAAAAGAAGCTGTGGTCATGTTTTAGCCCGCTCTGACTCAAATTCTACCGGTTCACAGTTTACTGAAGCAAAGCTCTCTTCATGCTGCGGTGTGGTATGTACTTTCGTACAGTTTCTGTAATAGTCCTTAAGTCAAGTGCATACAGGCCAGCAGATCTTGCAAAAAAGGGGGCGGGGGTTAAGGTGGTGTGGGGGGGGGGGGGTTGCAGCAGACTTTACGGTACTGTGCAATCACAAAACAAACTGTCTTGATTGCTATTCTTTGACCCTGAATAATTTGTTAATTTTTTTCAAATCTGTCAACCTTTCAGGAGTCTCTTGTTCATTTTTGGCACATCCACAAAATGGTTCAGTCTCGCCCGGAGAAAACAGTTTCGAAGCAACTAGAAACTTCACTTGTAACGAAGGATTCAAATTGGTTGGTTTTGCCACAATCACATGTCTTCTGCAAGGAGTTTGGTCTGCACCTCAGCCAACTTGCCAACGTAAGTGTCATGTAGTGCAAAGTAGCTGTGTGTGTGTGTGTTTGCGTGTGTGCGTGTGTGTGTGTGTGCGTGTGTGTGTGTATGTGTGTGTGTGTGTGTGTGCGTGTGTGTGTGTGTGTGTGTGTGTGTGTGTGTGTGTGTGTGTGTGTGTGTGTGCTGTTTCACTTTGAAACTGTCCTCCAACGTAACCAGATCTTATACAGTCAGTGAGTGCGACAAAATGGCACAAAACTGACGAGGAGTACTGAGATATTGGGTACCCGACACCTTGCTCCAACACTTCTCCAAGGCTCAAAATAACAACCTTCCAACTTCGAAGGCTCTGGTCGGAAAGTCCAAGAGGGGAAAAGGGACAAAAGGGACATTTTGTCCTTCTCCTTTTTCACAATAATTTTAATTGGCTCACCATCCGAGTTCAACTGTGTACTTGATCCGCCCAGTTAAAACTGGCGCTTATCATCACACTTGTCTCAGGAAGGAAATACATGTTATTTGAAGCATGCCATGATCACAAAGCACTATGTATGTGATCATTTACATGTCAGTAAGCAACTCATCCGAAAATTCAAGCAAGTTACACTTCCTCCTCGCCACTATCGTCGCTGGAGGAAGAGCTCAAAACGTTCGATCCGGACAGCTGGTGCACGTTTCATAGATTGTTCCACTTCTCCTCGTCTCCAATCACGCTGAAAGGCAGTGCGTGCCTGTCACCTTGCCGATCAGAAGCTGAGTGAGACTGCCCGCATGTTGGCTGTAAGTGTTATCCCCGTTCGTCGCTATAATGCGTCTTTGTTTGAGACAAAAAGACAACACCACATCAGTGTCCTTTTTTCAAAATCGCGCTTGTCGTACTTGCTGATCAGCACCCACGCGAGCCGCTGGTGGTTGTACATGCAGCGCAGTGATAGCTTCCGCTTGATGTAGCACCTATGCGTACTGCACCTAGAGTCCATTTCAAAACTATAGACGCGTAGGGTTTTTGAAATATTTCAAATTTGGCTGGACCTTATTGAGAATAGTTTTCGGAATATTGCTCATGATCGCTCCACAATTACTCTTATATAGTTTCTAAACGATTGGATAACAGACGCCCAATTTGGAAAAATTTATGCACAAAGTGATCACAGATTTTATGTGGTGTAGATGCTGGCATAACGGTTTTTGCCTAGGTACGCGTCTATAGTTTTGAAATGGACTGCAAATCCTAACGCCTTGCGCCAGGCTTTTCGGCTAGTTCAGTGAAAGTCCTTTGCACGAGAGTTTCACTCAGGACTTAGTCACGGTACATTTGATTAGCTCCTTTGCCCGGTCCCCTGTGAGCTTCAAAGTGTGTCAGCCGGATTCATCTCACTTTCCGCAGATGTCGACATGAGCTGTAGTTTCTTCGTCAGCAATTTGCTGGTGATAACTCTTCACTAGGCGCTGTACTGTGCCAGCACGGAAATTCAAGCTCGCGAAGCACTTTTCCAGCGTTTCTATACCTCTCGCGGTACACAATCCTTGCCACCAGACAGCTGGAAGTAGACAGAAACTGTATTCTCCATAGCTCTGAAACGCGAACATCCCGACCTATTTTACAGACTCGAGCAGACCTTGCAACTTTTTCTTGCGCTGACGGAAGTGTTTGTCGGTGGCAAACTCAGTCAAAAAGACTGAAACGAACCGATCGCAACTTCTGTGATGGTATGTGCTGCCATGTCGTCGGATGCAATGGTCAATGGCTATGTTCAGATGGTGAATCGGTGGTTCCATGCCAAATGACACAGGCAGAACACCAAAAAGTCAAGTGCGAAGATAAGCGCCAATTTTAACTTGACGGACCAAGTACATTTTAATCAACTTATCATGCTACAAATCTCTTCGCTTACTAAACATCTTTTTGGTTTTATAATCTGTACTTTTAAATAACATTGCCTCATGCCTAGTTTCTTGGTGGAATCGAGGTTGTTTTCCCTGCAATAACAGAATGGAGAGTGTGTATAAATGTATTTCTTCTTTTATTTCTCTAAATTTTTAACAACAGATGCGTTAGCCCCAGGGGGGGGGGGGACCTCACCTATGGGGTACATGAGAGCTGTTAATTTTAATATTACTACTTCAACTTAATATGAACACTACAATCTTCTAGGTGTTATTGTTCCTCTATGACAACCATGGACACACTCCACCTCTGCTGTCATTCTGTTCTTCTTTGTGTTTAGCTATTGAAACATGCCCAGCCCTGCGGTTTGAGAACGGAATTACTCCCGCAACCAACACTAGAGTTGGTAATGCAGTCAAAGTTGAATGCGAAATGGGATACCAAATCAACAGTAGTAGCTCCATTATCTGTCTCTCGAATGGACAATGGTCAGACACTCCACATTGTACTGGTAGGTGTAAAATCTAATGTTAGAAGGTTTGCGTACACTGATCACAACATGTTTACAGATGTTTTGAAATTTTAGTATAACGAGGGGAAAGAATCAAAGCTAATAGGGGGAGTATTTCCTTGAATTCCCCTCCTGATTACCCGTCGATTGCCTTATTGAGTTTTCAGAGATTTGACTCTAGCTTTCTTCTAGGCTTTGTCCATTTGGCAAAGCATGAGTTCTCTGGGTAGATGACACAACAACCTACCTACGTAGGGGTTTGAAAACGCAAGGTTGAGTTAGACTTTGGGGTTGTGTGGTGCCTGTAGCGTAACTCTCTCCCTCCCCCTTTCCTCCCGTTCCCATGACCAAACATGTACGGACCAGTATCTGCAAAATGGACCTTAGGGTGATTTTTCACAAAAAGACTTTTCTGCTTTTGTCATCTATAGGTATCTAGTGATCACATGGCGAAGTATTAGACCGAACAAAGCAATGTTGATGACCCAGAAGCTTCTCAAACAAGTCTAGGTACATATCAGAAAATACAACAATTTATCACAGCGTTTTCCACATCAGAATACTAGTACTATGCGTTACAAAAGGCAGTGCAATTCATCAGCCGTCCAGTTTTTGTTGTATAACTCTCGCACAACTTCTGGCATAGAGCATGGATGGTCTTGATCCTCATCACTGCAGACGGCAATGGAAACTGCTTGAACACCATCCCAAGTCTGCTAATAATCCGCAGAAGTCCAGAACAGGAAGGAGGGTGGCTACAAATACACCTGGAGTCCCGGTCTGTGCATCCCACAGGGAATATGACACAGGCACAAAATTCTAACACCACACACTTCATATCGTACACGATTCAGAGGTAGTCCATCATTGTTCTGCTGCACCTCTGTGAAATTTGAGCTCCGTGGGAAACTGGCAGCATGCGCGTCAGTGCGCCATGATTCCAGCACTGAGCGCAAAGTGTTCATAGCTCATCAATCACAAGTACTTGTGTCAGCTCTTGCCCCGTCCTAGGGTTTTGGTGTTCCTCGCGGAGTCAGGGTGGCAGATCATGTCACTAGCGGCAGAGCTCTATCGTCCGTACTCGAGTTGATCCAGGACATTTCAGTTCAACTGCCTCTGTTGCCGTCGCCTCACTAGTTTCTCCTTGTTGAGTATTTCCCCCCTGCGGAGTTGTACTAAAATCAGAAGGGCCCCACGAGGATTTCCAGATGTCAGAAAGTACTTTCACCAGCAGAGATCTCCTTTGGTGGAGCCTAAATCAAGTTGAATTTTTCGTCGCTAAATAGGAATTGGGCGTCGACAAAAACATCTTGTGAGGACTGTCGTCGTTCTCTACCAGACACGACGATTCCTACCTAGGAAGTCCAATGACTTCTGGCAGAGATGGACGGCAGTTGGCCATCTTGAGCGAAAGCTCCTACTACACTTGTAGGACGATCTAAAGCTTTCTTTGTCGCAATGAACTAATTTTTGTTTGGATGTGCACAGCGAAGCGCAAGCAACAGTATTTTTGCCGTGGCAGAAAATGACTTTTTCTGCAAAAAATGATTTTCACCCGAAGGTCGATTCTCGCTGATACTGGGCCTATTACGAGGATTATCAGTAAAGGTCCCAAAATTCTGGCCTGTTTTCTGTCACAATTATATGCCAAGGCATGCCATTGTTCTACTTTTCTGTGTTGTGACGCAGTGACAGTTTAGTGACAGAACCTCATCATCTTCTTTTTCATATTCCAATCGCATCTCACACCTCTCTTCCTGGCATTATCTTTTGTTATGTTTTTTGAACACCTGTCTCTCTCTCTCTCTCTCTCTCTCTCTCTCTCTCTCTCTCTCTCTCTCTCTCTTTGTGCATGTGTATGTTTGTGTTTGTGTCTATTTGTATGTGTGTGTGTGTGCACATGTGTGTGCGCGTGTGTGTGGGAGGGGGGGGGGGTGCGGGCATGTGTGGGTGTGTGCGGGCATGTGTGGGTGTGTGTGCATGTGTGCACGTGTGCGCATATGTGTGTTCTATTTGCATTCTGGTTTCTTGCTGTGCAACGGATTAGGTATTCCAACGGCTGCTGCCCTGACGGAGACTACCTGGCTTGGACAATCAAGCAGTCGGGCCATGATTATAGTGGTTTCAATGCTCAGTTTGATTTTGTTATCCGTGCTCATTGCCTGGGGACTAAGTTCATCAAATCCTAAGAATGTACTCACCACCTTCACTGCTCATCGGCCCAAAGAAAACACCCATCCATACCAAAATCGATATAAGGCGGCCAACTCCTCTCTCGCCCTGATAACTGACACAAAAAACGTTGCGGAGAGTGAAGACACCTCCAACAATGAACAGACTGATAATACATACGGGGAAGTACCGCAATACCAAAATCAACATAAAGTGGCCAACTTCTCTCTCCCCCGGACCACTGAACCAAAACAAGTTTTCGCTAGGGAAGACAACTGCGACAATGAACAACCTGATAGGACATACGGGGAAGTACCGCGATACCAAAATCAATATAAGGTGGCCAACTTCTCTGTCTCCCCGATCACTGACACAAACAGCGTTGTTGATTGTGAAGACACCTACGACAATGACCAGCCTGATAGGACGTACGAATCGGAAGTACTTCGATACCAAAATCAATGTAAGGTGGCCAACTTCTCTGTCTCCCCGATCACTGACACAAACAGCGTTGTAGGTTGTGAAAACACCTACAACAATGACCAGCCTGATAGGACGTACGAATCGGAAGCACTTCGATACCAAAATAAATTGAAGATGGCCAGCTCCTCTGTCTTCCAGATTACTGACACAAACAGAGTTGCGGATAGTGAAGACATTTACGACAACGACGAACCAGATAGGACGTACGAATCGAAAGTAGAGCATAAAAGAGTGGATTCCTCAAACGTCGCAGAACGGAGCGAAACACCGACCATGTTGTATGCTGAGATGTGCGCTGCCCGAGAAGGAAAGGAGGTCGAGAAGCAGGTGTCAGCACATAGTCTGGGCGATGCTTTCTCGGAATCGGGAGCAGACAAGTCTTGTGTTGTTTCTCCCACCATCAATGACAACGCTCTTTATCAGGCACTAGTGGACTTGTTTGTAGAATCTGACGATCAATTGTACTCCGCCCCAGGAGGCTTGATGGAGGAACATCATGCTGGAGTTCACCATACACCAGTGGACAAGTCAGATGAATCTGAAAGCTCACCAACCGCAATTTCCATGGTGAACGGTGACTAGGAACTGCTCCCAGGATGATGCACCTTATCTACCTATCACGTTTTACCCGTGTTTGACGTCATTAATTTTAGCATACATGCACCAGTGCAGCCATGTATGAGATGAACCCTGTTTTTACAGCCTGTGCCAGTATGTAGTGTTAGCTGTAGTCCGCTCCTATCCCGTGATGCCTGGTATACATAATATGATGTATACTAAAGTCTTTTATTTTAATTTGCTTCCCCAGAATCTGGCCGAGTCCCACACGAACCGCTATTTTTGGATTTTTTTAAGTACCCTTTTAATTAAATGTACTGACACACTCTTACTTGCACCTTTGACAGTACAACTGGCACTATCTGCTTCACGAAAATTTGCCTCCCAGAATCTAGCCGAGTCTCACGCAAACCACAATTTTTTAATGTACATTTTTATCCCTCATTCCGGTTTGTGGGGTCCGAACATACCCCAGGAGTATGATTTTGAAATAATTTTACTTTGCTGCATCACATCTCCCTGAAAATTCATGTATTCCTCAACAACACAATAACCGAGATAAATAAACAGTCTGGGTTAGAGGTTCATGATGGATTTCACATTTATTATGGAAAATGCGGGCGGGGTCCAAATTGACCCCAGTAACATAGAACACAGAAAGTGTAACAATTGCGATAGTTTTGGTATTTATCTCCATGGTCACCGAATACATGGATGACATCCACTGAAGTATGAGGCCCTGGAAGAAAAAGTTCTTCTACAGCCATAATACCTCATTCCATGCTGACGTTTTTCCTATGTTCCCAGTATATTGGGGTCCGTTTGGACCCCACGAACGTTTTGGGTGGTATTCGTGCAAACTTAAATAATCTTGACCAACTTCTGAGTTGTCAACAAAATGTAATGCAGTTTGGTCAAAGCATTGGTCTATGGAAAGGTAAAACAGCAAACAAATACATACACTCCAACAGCCTTCCAACTTGGAAGGTTCTAAGTTATAGCTAGGCCTTGACGAATTATGCTAGCATAATTTTTCGCATAATTCCTACCAAAATCGAATAATCCGCCTGTTCGCACCAAATTCCATAGAGGTGTCATGTTCTACAAGTACAAGTAGATACACCAGGAAGTCGTAGGTTTACGACTCCCTTGATAACATGTCCAGTGCATTACAATCAGTGATGGTCGTAGCTACAATTGTAGGTCGGACGGTGCGTTGGCCCCGTTGAACTTTTGCTACAGTACAACCCCCTATAAAATAAATCCCCTGTTATTTTGCACAGAACCATCATATATAATTATTAGCAGCATATGTGAGCATAATGCGGCATAATATGATAACATTTGGCATAAAAATAGCATAATTCTGCAATTTTTTCAGCAATGCGAAAAGCATAATTTCACGAAAATATTAGCATAATCCGTCAAGGCCTAGTTATAGCAAAAGTACATAACCCCGTACTCTTGGTTAGAGAAATAACATAAGGAGGGGAAGGCGCATCCAAGATGTGCTAGATCTGTTAGCCTGTTAGTTGTAGAACGTCAGTACCGTTGGTCAGTGTCGTGCAATGTTATCGCATGAACTGATTGTTTAGTGACTGGTGGTGTTAGTGGACAGTATAGCGTAACTTACTATCTTTTTTTTTCAAACTTTGGAGCAGGGTGCAGGTTTTCGCGCTCTGA